ACTGACTTCTCCAAGGGGGCATATGTGTTTAGAGGGGCAGTAAAACTGGGAGTTAGCAATGATACATAAGAGAAGCACAAGCCAAGGTTACAGCTTATATGTGTCGGGTTTGTATTTAAAATTTTTTTTTAATTTTTTCCCTGATGACAGAGCTCCCACTTTTAATATGTTAGTGGTGTTTTTTTTAAGTGTTGGTACCAGGACCGGAAGCATCAAAATCACTGGGCAATTTTTTAAATGCATATTCTTGGGCCCCAGTTACTGAATCAAACACCTGGGAATCTATATTTTTAATAAGCCCCCACTCTTCCAGAATTTTGCGAAGTGGTTAAGGGTTTGGCTGCTAAAGACCAGGTCAGCAGTTCGAATCTACCAGCTGCTCCTTGGAAACCCTATGGGGCAGTTCTACTCTGTGTTATAGGGTTGCTATGAGTCGGAATTGACTCAGTGGCAATGAATTGGGTTTTTTTTTTTTTGGGTGGGGGAGGGCACTGGCAAATGAATTCCTTGTTGCTATTTGAACTACATCTTTACAACCCCAAATTGATGTGAAGAACAGTTGGGGACAAACATAGTTGAGGATAAGTTACCTTGTGATTTCATTTTCATTTATTTATTTTTGTTTTGTTTTTATTGTGGTAAATATATAGGTAACAGAACATTGGCCATTCATTTCTATTTTTAATATATCCCCCAGGGCACCTTTCTCCAATTACGGTAAAATGTGATAGAATTAAGTGTCAGTTACAAGTCAAATATCTCCATGAAATATGTTTACATATTTGCTCACCTATCTAAAAGTGTTTGGGGGAGAGGTGAGGGCTGGTTGGGCAGAGCATGGAGCCAGAGGCACTGGGGCAGAACACGGGCTTGCCAGAGATTCCTGAGCTGTGGCCAGGTGCCTTTGCAAAACTGCAAGCTGGCTCCAACCAGGCAGCTTTTGTGTTTATTTATTTTTTTTAATTTTAGTTATTTTGTTGTTGAGAATATACACAGCAAAACATACACCAATACAACAGTTTCTACATACATAATTCAGTGACGTTGATGTTGTGCAACCATTCTCACCCTCCTTTTCTGAGTTGTTCCTCCCCCATTATCATAAATTCACTGCCCCCTAAGGTTCTTATCTAATCTTTTGAGTTGCTATTGTCACTTTGATCTCATATAGGTAGATCTTAAAAGAGCATAATGCTCTAGGCCGAACTTTTTTTACTAGTTAAGCTAAACTATTGCTTCGTTTTAAGAAAACTTCATGGGGATGTTCTTGGTTTAAGGTTTACCAGACAGCTTTTGAATCAAGCACAAATTTGAGTTTGCCCTGCTCTGCTTTTGGCTTTTCAGCTATTTCTTGTGAGGACAAACAAGTGAGGAAGAAATTAGTGTGTGGAATATAGGTGGAAACTGGGAGAGGAGCCATAAGGAGAGGCTGCTGTTTAACAATCATAAATATTTATATAGGACTTTGTATGTGCCAGGCATGTCATGTTTTAATCTCGTTATTTCTCAAAACAGCCCTGTAAGGCAGGTACTATTATTATTCTCATTTTAAAGGTGAGGTAATTGAGGCACTGGAGATTAAGTAAATTGCCTAAGGTCACATAGCTTCTAGGTGGCAGAACTGGAATTTGATATTAGGTCTAGGCTGACTATAAAGCCCATTCTTTTAAACCATCATGTTACGCTGTCTCTGGATTTAATGCCTGCAAAATTCCTAGTGCCTGCTAGAGATACTGGTGGTAAATGGTGGGCATACATGCACACCTGTTTCTGGAAGAACAGAGCCTCTGAGGATTGATGATCTCGCTGATTAGTGAGCAAAAATGTTGACAATAATTGGTTATGTGACCTTGGATAAACCATTTCTTTCTGTGGCTCTCAACATCCACATGTGTAAGGGACAGAGATTGGAGTAGGTCATCTCCAAAGCTTCTATGACTGTATCAGGTGTCTTGGATGATCACTCAACCCTGCCATGGAGGCCCCTTCAGAGGCCTTGTCCCTTGAGAAATGTAGCAAGGGAAACTCTCTGTTAGGTAGGAAGAGCATACTCTGAAACAGATGCATTTATTGAACACTTACTATGTTCCAGGTAACAAAGATACAGAGTTGAGGATAAATATGGCTGCTGTCTTCAAGGAATGCACACTCTGGTGAGGCAAGCAGATGACAAACAATTATGAAGAAAGTATAGCACGGGGTATTTTAATCACAGGAGTAAGCTCAGGGTGCTGTCAGAACAGAGAGAACTTAGTCTGGGGCTAGGGGATGATGAGGGAAGGCTTTTTGAAATAAGTAATCCTTGACCTGAGCTCCTCAACATGGTAAGATCTGCAGAGCAGGGTAGCCTGAAGAAAATGGAAGGTTCCTCCTGTCACACCAAGTAAGGCGCTTGGCCAGCACTAGTTCCTGCTTGAGAAGTCAGAGTTCATGCTAGTCTCAGGGATTTGAGTGTTCTTGATTTCTGTGTAGGTTGAAAAGCAGTGCTGATGTTCTTTTATAAACTTGTGTTCTTTTCTTCCTAGTCTGCATGGGGAAGGCTCAGTTTTTATTAACTCTTCCTTCAATGGGTATAAACTTGTAGCAGGACAAGGACTGGGTTCCATTTCCAGTTTGTCCTTTACCCTTTGTGTATAGGCTGGGCTACTTCCTCATATTGTAACACCTCAGCTTATCTGTGTCAAAAAGAGGAGTGTTGTTCCATTTCCATTGGGTAGATTCCAGAGCCTAGAAAGTTATCTGAGTGACTAGGTTCATTCCCTTTAAGACTACAAGATAGATAATAATGTCTTTTAATTTTAAGCATCTCACTGAAGGGAATTTCTAAACTTAATTGGTCATTCTTTTAGTTTCTGAACCTTTCCTCACTGTCAGAAAGTTCTCCCCATTGTTCTACTTAAACCCTTCCTGCTATTTCTTTCTTTCTTTTTTTTTTACTTGCTATTTCTTCAAGCCCTTGTCTTTTCCTATGGTCCCATTGTGTATTGAGAAAAGCTGGTTGCCATGTTGCTGACAAGCTGAGAGACTACTTTGAGATCTTCTTCCAAAAAGATTCATCTGAAGTCAAAGTGGGATTATTAGCTTCTCAGGGGGTATATGGAATCTTCCTCTATGAGGAAAGAGAAGTGAAGGTGAGGTCAGCAGTCCCTGGAGCAGCCTGCCTTTCACTGCCCAGCTGAGCCCCAGAATCTGGAAGCTATAAATATGCCATTCATTCATTATTAATCAAGCACCTGCTCTGTGGCAATTCTGTGCTATGTGCTAGTTTGTGCATCTGTATTCACGGCAAGTGACCCTCCTGTGACCTTTGGTATGACACCCAAGTACGGTGTTCTTGTAATTAGTCCCTTTGGGTTGCAAGCAGCAGAGAATCACTTGAGTTCTTTCAAGGAAAAGAGTTTATGAGAACATAAGAAAAGTGGAACTGGAAAACCATCAGGAAAGGATGGGCTTCTCTCTCATTCTTTCATGGGCAGTATGGGGTTTTTCTCATGGTGTATCTGCTTCATGCCTGTTGTCTCCTCTGTTCTCCCCCTCTATCAGGCAGTTCGCTCAGCTTACACATAATTGCTGTCCACGCATAACTTTGGCTTGAACTTGCCTTCAGCTTGACACAGACTTGATTCGATCTTCTGGTGTTTTTGTTTGTCTGTCTGTTTTTCCAACTTCTGCTCTATCTTCTAACTAGCCTAGCATCTTGGTGATTCTTGGTTAAAATTTCCAAAAACAAGAATCTGGCCCAATTCATGTCTTCATGCCAGGCCACGATGTCACCCATTACTGGCAGCCAATGAATTTGATATTTTTGTGTCAGATGCCAACACTTGGTCCAATCCACTGTGGCCAGAGGCAGGATGGGGTCATAGATTAAGAGATGTGAATACCTAGGCCGTAGGTAAGAGCTGTAGATGAGGTACTTTCCCTTTGAAGGGAGTGTTGGCAAGCAGATCCAAATTTGTATCTCTGGTAAGAAGAGGAAGATTATTACTAGCTAAGGTCTCACAGAGCTTCCTTGTAGTCACTGAATAACCTAAGCAAAATGGGGATAAAGGCAAGAGGCTAGGTGGAAGGGGTTGGAAGCCAAAGAAGGGAAGAATGCTTGGCATTAAGCGAGAATGATTTCTCAGGGAAGAGGGACTATGGTGCCCTGCTCACCAAGAGAAGCCTACTCAGCTTGCATGATTTCTATAAGTATCAGTCAGGCAGCCGACTACAAGTTACAGAAGTTATAAGCTACTTTCAGTGAGTAGAGACCCACTTGACCCTTAAAAAGCCTGGATTTTAGGAAAGAATAACAGTTTCTTTACTGTTATTCTCTGTAACCAGACCAAAATAGAAGAGGGGTTTGATTGCAGCAGCCAAGTTAGCTTTGTACATCATTGCCAAAAACATTTTGGCTGTAAAAAGTACATTGGCCCATCTCACTTCTCAATACAGGCAGTCCCCGGATTATGAACGAATTCTGTTCCTAAATCTGTCTTTAAGTCAAATTTGTATGTAAATTGGAACAATTAGGTATGGTTCGTATCTAATGTCAGTCAAATGTTCGTCTTAGTATATAGTGTACCTTTCTATGCATTAAAAAAAACCCTTCCAGATACACTAAAAAATCTTTAACATAGTAATATAGTAACAATAATGTTTTGATATGTGTCCCAAAGTAGTACCCATTTGTTATTACAAACCATTGTATGTACCTCGAATTTTTAATATAATAGGCTTTCCAGGGCTTGGTTCATAACTACAGGCTGTACATAAGTTAGACGTTCATAACCCAGGGATGGTCTGTACTGCCCTTTCTTTATGAATTGTCCCCTCTGCTGTCTACTGCACCCCACCATCTATGGCAGGGCAAAGAAATACAGTTGAGTTCTTAGTATCATAGACATTTAGGGTAAAAGGGTAAGGGTAGAATTTGAGCTGAGTTAATCTAGAAGGAATGCTGGGATGACAGAATAATTGTTATTTTTTTCTACCTGTGTATATGCTCTTCTTTCCAGGGCTGCTGATAAGCTCAGGCTGTGCATTATACCCCTTAGGATGGAATAGTCCGGAGATAATGCAAACATGTGGGAATGTCTCCAATCAATTTCAGTTAGGTAAGGTGGCCTGGGTAGGATGGCAGTGATGGGTCATGGGAAATCTGTTTTCCAAAGTGCATTACCTCTTGAAGGGGACTCTGCTGTTGGTACTTGCTTGAACCTCTCTCACTCAATTAGCTTGTGGGAAGTGGTGGCTTGGCCAGACTTATTTGGCCTTGCTAACTCACAAGGGTTGGCCAGAAGTTCCACTTCCTTAACTATATCTTTCCACAGTCTATTATATACTTCCAATGACTAGTCCTGATAGCTAGGGTAGAGAAAGATAAAGATATACCATATCTGTCCTACTTGGTTGTTGGACCTATGAGTATAACAGTTTTTAAATAATATATGAATGATATATAATTCATATACCATAAAATTTACCCTTCTAAAATGGATAATCAAAGCATTTTTAGTATTTTTACAAGGTTCTGCAAACATTATCTAATTGCAGGAAATTTTTATCACCTCGAAAATAAAACCCATACCTATTAGCAGTCACTCCTCATTCACCCCTCCTTACAACCTCTTGCAACCATTAATCTACTCTCTGATTCTATAGATTTGCCTATTCTGGACATTTCCTAAAAATGAAATCATACAATAGGTGGTCTTTTGCAACTGGCTTTTTTCACCTAGTATAATGTTTTCAAGGTTCATCCGGGTTGTACCATGTGCTTTATTCCTTTTTATGACTGAATAATATTCCATTGTGTGGATAGATCATATTTTGTTTATATACTCATGAATTGATAAACATTTGTTTCCAGTTTGAGCTATTATGAATAGTGCTGCTATGAACATTTGTGTACACATTTTTGTGTGAACATATGATTTTATTTCTCTTGAGTATATACCTGGGTCAAATGGTAACTCTATATTTTAGCTTTTGAGGAACTGCTAAACTGTTTTCCCAAGAGACTGCACAATTGTACATTTCCACCAGCAAATGCATGAAGATTCCAGTTTCTCCACATCCTCATTAACACTTGTTACTTTCCATATTTTTATTATAGCCATCCTAGTGGGTATGAAGTAGTATCTCATTGTGGTTTTGATTTGCATTTCAGTGATGGCTAATGATGTTGAGCATCTTTTCATGTATTATTGCTCTCTTGTGTATCTTCTTTGGAGAAATGTCTATTCAAGTTCTTTGCGGATTTTTAAATTGAGTTATTTGTCTTTTTATTGTTGATTTTATATAACCTGGGTACTAGACCTTTTCAGGTATATGATTTGCAAATAATTTCTCCCATTCTGTGGGTTATCTTTTGACTTTCTTTTTTTATTGTGGTAAGTATACATATAACAAAACATTTACCATTTCAACATTTCACTTTTTTTATTGTACTTTAGATGAAGGTTTACAGAGCAAATTAGTTTCTCATTAAACAATTAATATACATATTGTTTTGTGACATTTGTTGCAACCCCACGACATGTCAACAGTCTCCTCTTCTCGACCCTGGGTTCCCCGTTACTAGCTTTCCTGTCCTCTCCTGCCTTCTTGTCCTTGCCCCCCAGGGCTGGTGAGCCCATTTAGTCTCGTTTTGTTGTACGGGCCTAATCTTTGGCTAAAGGGTGAACCTCAGGAATGACTTCAGTACTGAGTTAAAAGGGTGTCCAGGGACCATATTCTCGGGGTTTCTCCAGTCTCTGTCAGACCAGTAAGTCTGGTCTTTTTTGGTTAGTTAGAATTTTGTTCCACAATTTTGTCCAGCTCTGTCTGGGACCCTCTATTGTGATCCCTGTCAGAGCAGTCAGTGGTGGTACCTGGGCACCATCTAGTTGTACTGGACTCAGTCTGTTGGAGGCTGTGGTAGTTGTGGTTCATTAGTCCTTTGGACTAATCTTCCCTTGTGTGTTTAGTTTTCCTCATTCTCCCTTGTTCTTGATGGGGTAAGACCAGTGGAGTATCTTAGATGTCCACTCACAAGCTTTTAAGACCCCAGATGCTACTCACCAGAGTAGGAAGTAGAACATTTTCTTTATAAACTGTGTTATGCCAATTGAGCTAGATGTCCTCTGAGACCATGCTCCCCAGCCCTCAGCCCAGTAAATCGATCCCTCAGGGAGTTTTGATGTGTCGATGAAGCTTCTATGACTTTGCCTTGGTCAAGTTGTGCTGACTTCCCCAGTATTGTGTACTGTCTTACCTTTCACCTAAATCACCACTTATCTATCGTCTATCAACTTTTCACTTTCTTGATATCTTTTGAAGTAGAAAAATCTTTAATTTTGATGAAGCTCAATTTATCTGCTGCTTTTTCTTCTGTCACTTGTGATTTTGGTGTCATACATAAGAAACCATTGCCTAATCCAAGGTCATGAGATTTTTCCCTATTTTTTATTCTAAGAGTTCTATAGTTCTAGCTCTTAGATTTAGGTCTTTGATCCATTTTGAGTTAATTTCTGTATATGGTATGATGTAGGAGACCAACTTCATTCTTTTTTTAAAAAAATTATTATATTGTAGTAAAATAAACATAAAATTCAGCATTTTAACCATTTTAAAGTATACAATTCAGTGTCATTTAATATATTTACAGAGTTATATAACCATAACCACAGTCAATTTTATAACATTTTCATCATCCCAAAAGGAAACCCTCTACCTACTTGTTCTGTCTGTATTCTACATATTAATACATTTTTGGCCAATATTGAAAAGAAGAGATAAACTGTATCATCTCTGGCCCTTTTCTTGTCAGTGGCCTAAACATAATGACAGATGCAACTGCATTAACAGTTGTTTTCTTGTAAAGTGGAGGTGCCAGGAGCAGCAGCTGACCATGGAAGATACATCAAAACACCAAATGGAATTATAAATAAATTTCTTATAATGTGTTGGGAATTCCAAGCTTGTGGCAGGCTACAAGTATGGCCTTTCTCCTCAAAGGCCATCCTTTATCATTTTGGAGATTCTGGCAGTGTTAAAGCATCCTTGGCACGCTTTAGGTATAGTGTGAATAGATGGAAGAGACAGAAGAAAGGTATTCTGGGTATCCAGTGTCCATACCAATGTTCCTTTTACCTTGAGAGACCACATGGTACATTGAAAGATCATAAACTTTGGAGTCAAAGATCTCAGATGGAATCCAGGCCTTGCCACCTAAGTAGTTGTATAGGCTAAGTCACTTTATATCTGTGTTTCAGTTTCCTTCTCTGTAAAATGAGGATAATAATAATAACTGACTCATTGTTGTTGTGAGGATGAAATAATAAAAGGTGTATTAAAGTACCAAGCACAGAGTTTGGCTCAAAGATGGTGACCTTCTTTAAATGATAGCAGAACAGAATGTGCTGGGGGTAGCATTTACTTTGATTCCCTTGTGGGGTCCATATTCTACTACGTGTGCTATATTTTGGGGGGAGATGCACAGAGCCAAGAAAAGTCATGGTGTTTACCTAACTAGCAAAACCTGTAACCATGACTTGTGTGAGAGAGACAAAGGGGATAGAAAGGAGAATAGACATAGGCATTGTCAGTCTGCAAGGTGATTTTCAAAGTAACTGAAATAAATTTCTCACTCTGGCACTCTGACATGCCTCCTGCAGTCTCCGGTATGAAGGGTTCACACACGTCTCCATTCCCTCTTTCCCTAGGTTTCCATTTAAATTATCTTGAACCATCTACAAATATGACTTTTACCCTAAGTTTAACTATTGAAGATAAAATTTTTTAAGACAACAATCTTGATGTCTGTGTTGGATTAAACATAGCTACGCATTCCTTGACACTCTTTCCATAGAGATGCTAGGTCTATAACAACTTTAACCAATAGAGTATAGCAAAAATGACATCAAGCTGGTTCTAGGCTAGGTTTCTAAAGATCTAACAGTTTCAACCTTAGTTTCCTGGAGCTCTGGGCCACCATGTAAACAGTCTGATTACTTTATTGGAAAGACTTCATGGAAAGGCTCAGAGATAATTGGAGAAAGAGGGCAGTTCGGCTGAGCGACCTTCCATCCATCCCTTCCCAGGCACCAGATATGTGAGTGAAGTCATTCTGGATCTTCTATACCAGGCAGCAGAATACCACTGAGTGATCCCAGTTGATTTCATGGAGCAGAAGAATCCCCCTGCTGAGCCCTGACCAAATTGTGACCCACAGAATCATGAGCTATAATAAAATGGTTGTTGTTTTAAACTACTATGTTTTGGAGTAGTTTGTTATGCAGCAATGGATAACCAAAAAAAAAAAAAAAAAAAAGCCAAACCTTAAATGCATGCATGTGGGCGCGCGCACACGCACACACGCACTCACGCTTATCTATAACCTAGTTTTTTAAAAATTTATCAAAAATAATTCATGTGCCAGGAAGCTGTCTTCGAAATTTTTTGACATAGATAAGTGAGCACCTCCAGTGCTGCATCCGTTTGTTGAAACATCTCATTTAGTATTCCATCAATTCCTGGAGTCTTGTTTTTCACCAATGCCTTCAGTACAGCTTGGACTTCTTCCTTCAGTACCATCAGTTCCTGATCACATGCTACCTCCTGAAATGGTTGAACGTCAATCAATTCTTTTTGGTACAGTGACTCTGTATATTCCTTTCATCTTCTTTTGATGTTACCTGCGTCGTTCAATATTTTCCCTGTAGAAGCCTTCAATATTACCATTTGAGGCTTGAATGTTTTCTTCAGTTCTTTCAGCTTGAGAAGTGTCGAGAGTGTTCTTCCCTTTTGGTTTTCTAACTCCAGGTCTTTGCACATTTCATTATAATACTTTTATTTCATCTTCTCGAGCTGCCCTTTGAAATCTTCTGTTCAGCTCTTTTACTTCATCATTTCTTCCATTCCCTTTAGCTACTCTATGTTCAAGAGTAAGTTTCAGAATCCCTTCTGACATTCATTTTGGTCTTTTATTTCTTTCTGTCTTTTTAATGACCTTTTGCTTTCTTCTTGTATGATGTCCTTGATGTCATTTCACAACTCATCTGGTCTTCAGTCATTAGTGTTCAATGTGTCAAATTTATTCTTGAGATGGTCTCTAAATTCAGGTGGGTTATAC